TTTATTTTTACCTCTTTTGTAGGAAGAACAGATAGAATGTTACCATAGTCAGGATATTACCACCTGAAACAGAGAGTTGTTTGCCACAAACTTTTTTTAATGTCAGTTTTGGCTTAATTTCCCTGTCATTTTCCCCCCTTTCCTTCATTGAGTATGTCAGACATCTACTATGTGCCAGACATATTCACAGGAGATGCTAGACCTCACATTCCAAAAGGAAAGCCTTAGAAGTAAACAGCCAGTTACTAATACAGTAAGATAAATACCGAGATGGATGTAACCTGAGGGTACCATGGCAACTTCAAAAAAAGCACCAACTCAGTCTTAGGAGGCTGGGAAGGCGTTCTGGGGAAGAAATTTTGGCAGAATCCTGAGGCTCAGAAGAGTGGTGGGACTGGCATTTCAGGAGGATGTAGTGACACACATAGGCCCTGAGAGAGAGAGGCACATCTTTGCAGCTGTGCTATGTGGCTACCTGTTTTGACCATCACTGCAGAAAAGGACTTTCCTAGGCTCTCACTTCTGCCCCAGCCTTAAAAGACTTACAACCTGCGGTAGACTGATAATTCTCCGGGGTAGGAAGGAAGCCATTAGCCTATACCATAACATGGTGAGTGCTTCTTATGTGACGTGTTTACATTTCTAAGAAATGAGGTTTTACCAAATCAAATGAATCAAAGTGGAGGAGTTTCCGACTGGTGAGGTGTGGAAAAGAGATTTCATTCATACACCTCTTTAAATACATGTTATTCCTACCTGAATATTCTTCCCCTTCTCTCATTACAGATGAGATCTTTTCCAAACTTGATCTTCTTAAATTTGTCTAGTGTTGAAGGTTCTGTTGCATATCGTCTTACTTTATTTTACAAGAGTTCAAGAGAAGAATTTTAGTCTTTGTTCTGTTTTTATGCTGGCAACTTATGTACCCTCCTTCTTCCTGCCTGGGCAAGTTTCAGGGGTTTCATGTATGCTCCAGCTCACACTGAACCTTGACCATCGTCCTGCCCTCCTTCAGTCTTTAAGCGCACTTTGCGTTGGCACCCTCTAACATCGGCTTCTGTGCTGTTGCCAATTATGACGCCTCAGTAAATGTGGAGGCTCTTTAAGAGTGAAGAGCAAGGCATTTCCTCCATTGTATCTCTCTTTGGTACTTAGCATGTTGTTAATGCACTTAGTTACTGTTCATTGAGGTGAGGATCCCATAATTGTTTGGTTCCTGTCCAGAGATGAATAAGTCTCATTACTTTTAATATTTTTGGACTCAGTGGGAAAAGCCCTATAGAAAAAAAAATTAAGTTCTCTAGTAGAATATTTTGTATTATCTATCTTGAAATTTTTATCAAAACCTCTAATAAGTTTTTCCCGGCTGTGTAACTAATAAATGCAAATAATTCAGAGGTAGTATCTTACAAAATTTGGCAGGTAAGAAAATCAGAAGTATATTTATTCTGAATTTGAGCAGAATTGCTATTGACAAATTTTAAAGGCTCATAATTACATAGACATTTTACGCCATAATATGTCTTAACTTAATAAATTGCTCAAGTGTAAACAACTGGTATTACATTTTGGAGTAATACCACTTAACCATAATCATCAGTCTTCTTGGAAAGTTTTTACAGAGCTGTTGTTTTCATTATTCATATTTTCTTAATTACAAGAGGGAATAACTAGGTAAACTGAATATACTACAGTATTCAGTTCCTGATTATGAAAATCTCATCTTTTCTTCTGAATAATAAATGCCATTTTTTTAAACAGAAAATTCCTACTTACTCTTGCTTATTATGTATTGTATTACCAATGTAAATGTTTTCTGAGACCCTTTATGGATGATGATTAGATGAATTTTGGGAAACAGGAACGTTCTTTTGCTTATACAGGCTGTTGCTGGATTTTGTTTTGATCATGCAGTTGTTCATAGAATCTGTTCTCAGTGAGTAGGGATTCCTTTAGGAGAGTTTTAAAGCCCCCCTACAGTACGTTTGATAAATTTGCACCGTGATTGCACCCCATGCTGTGTCTTTTTATTCCTTTTTATGAATATTACTGAACTACTGTCTTCTGAGCGGACTGTGACACTGTCAAAAGGAAAGAGATAAAGAGAATGAGGCGTGGGATCTGTGAGTGGTAATTACTAAGAGCAGTGGGGTGTGGGGTGCTGCTGAGCTTGGGGAAGCTCACATATTTTGGCACAGAAACTCCCAAAGGCACCAAACTGGATCACCAAGACAGCATAGGATGAATGTTAGTGAAACAAAAGGAAAGAGTTGTTTTTTTTTAAGCATTTAAGAATGAAGGAGTTATTATTTTTTAGAGATAGAGTATTGCCCTGTCATCCAAGCTGGAGTGTAGCAGAACAATCATACCTCAACTGTAACCTTGAACTCCTGGGCTCAAGCCATCCTCCCATCTCAGCCTCCTGAGTAGCTGAGTCTACAGGTATGTGCCATCATGCCTGGCTAATTTTTTTAGTTTTTTGTTCATGTAGAGATGAGGGTCCTACTCTGTGCCCAGGCTAGTCTTGAACTCCTGGCCTCAAGTGATCTTCCCAACTTGGCCTCCCAAAGTGTTGGGATTACAGGTGTGAGCCACCATGCCTGGCCAGAATGAATTACTTTTTCACATGTAAAACTCTGTGAGATAAGAATATCTCAATCTTTAGAAATAAGTAAAAGTTAAAGATGGGAGAATTTCAGTAACCTGTGACAGTTACACAGCTAGTAAGCAGTTGATCTAGAACTTGGAGCACAGGTCTTGCTGATTCCATAGCTATGGTGTTTCCTCTTTACTACATTCTGCGTGTATGTGAGACCACAGGGAGAAAGAGATAAGTCACAGACAAATGCTTAAATGTTGCACAGAAGGCAAATGTATACATGTCTTTAGATATTCTTGATTTTGCATTTTCTTCCAGGGTTTGTGCTGCCGTATGTTTTGAAAAACAACAAACAAAACATCTAAAACCAGTTCTTTGGTTATTCCCTGTTTGGATACAGTATTAGACATTTTCCTAAGACAGGAGATTATGGTAACAGATTGCTAAGCTGCTTTTATTTTAAACAGCATAATTATCGGTGAAACAGATAGTGCGGAAAGTAAACAATCTGTTTCAGGATTTTAAAGTTTTATAATACATCGAATGTGTCTTTCAATAGTTGACTCCTAAAATCATGACATAGATTTCTATCCCCCTGTTTAATTTGATTGAGGAAGGGTTAAAGTTTTAGAGGGAAGAAACGTTTTAAGGAAAAGGGTAGTTGATGGTTATATACAAATATCAATCATGAAAGAACAGTATCAACCATGAAAGACTGTGAAAACATTCATCTTCCACTTTATTTATTAGGAGACCTCTGGTAGCAAATACACTCTTGTTGCAGTCTCTCATCACAATAATTATAAGAAAATTTGGAGAAAGATATTTATGTGGGAATGATAGATGTAATATTTCTCTGAAATTAGTGACATCTTTACATTTTACAGTTTAAGTAGTGTAAGCATTTAGTTTCTTTTGCTAAGCATGTGCTTCCAGCTGTGTGGAAATCTCACATTTTCCTGCTGGTGTCATCTCTTTATCTACTACAATTATACTTAATTAATACTTAATTTTTTCATTATTTTTTTTTTGAGACAGGGTCTTGTTCTGTCACCCAGGCTGGAGTTCAGTGGTGTGCTCATGGCTCAAGCAGTCCTCCCACCTCAGCCTCCCCAGTAGCTGGAAATACAGATGCATTCCACCACACCCAGCTAATTTTTTGTTTCTCTTCGTTGCCTAGGCTTGTCTCAAACTCCTGGGCTCAAGCAATCCACCTGCCTTGGCCTCCCAAACTGCTGGGATTAACGGGTGTGAGCCACCACACCTTGCCATGTTTTTATGATTTATTTACTTTGGCATCACCCTTTGGGATCCATGTGCTGTGTTCCCTTTCCTTGCTTCCTCCTGGGCACACAGAGGACTGGCAGGGCTGACTCAGGGCACAGGGCTGGCACCCTCTGCCACTGTGTGCTAGCAGTCTTCAGACTCTACCTTTGTGACTTCTTTCCCCTTCTAGACTGCCCTTCTCTCTCATCTGAACCTGTTACAAATGTAAAAGTGGGAGTGGGAAGAGCAGCCGGGGGCTTCTTAAGATTTGTAGAGAATGCCAGAACCCTGATGGCCATATGTGCAGAGTGAAAAATTGAGGAGCTTAACTCTGACAGATTTAAATGTACTTACGAGTATTTTAAATAAACTCTCCCAAAAAATCTAGAACAGTGGCCATGTAGTTTGTAGTACTAACATTCTTAGTGTCTTCTTGTAACCTGTTAGATAGATAGTATACCTTGATACAGAGTTGTGGAGTGACTTTTGCTAATATAAATTGGAGGAATAATACATTTATTCTACTTAGATGTTATTTCAATACTTCAACTTTCAAATATAAGCCAAAACCAAACTTTAAATTCCTTAGACATTTATGAAGAAATTTGCTCAAACATGCTTGAATTTCAACAGGATCACTTAGTAACTAAATCAAAGATTACTTTGGCTTCTCATTGGCCCCCCAGTTAAGTCTCTTGTTTTCTCACTGTGGGGGGTAATGGTGGTGGGGTGTGTGTGGAGAGGCTAGTACAAGTACATGAAGCAAAAGTCAGGGTTAGATCAGCCACCTGGGTTTCTGGGTTCTCTTCTGTGTTTGCCTTTTCTTCTTCCTCTCTTTACCACCTTATACTAGCTATTATCAGTCTTTTTATAATTTTTTTATCAATCTGTAAAGTTAAGAAATTTTCATTGTTTTAATTTGCATTAGAGGTAACAGTCCAATGGAGTATCTCTCCCTATGGATAGTGATTCAGATTCATTGTACTGTTGTTTGTGGATTTATTCATAGCGCTGCTGGCAGCGAGCTGCTTGACGTGCTTTAGCTCTGTGTGGTATTCAGAAAGCATTTGACACTTGGATAAAGACTTGGTCAGTTTTATTTATCTTTAATGTGTGTATTTCTTTTTCTTTTCAGTTGCTGATCATCTGGGCTGTGATCCACAAACACGGTTCTTTGTCCCTCCTAATATCAAACAGTGGATTGCCTTGCTGCAGAGGGGAAACTGCACATTTAAAGAGAAAATATCACGGGCTGCTTTCCACAATGCAGTTGCTGTAGTCATCTACAATAATAAATCCAAAGAGGAGCCAGTTACCATGACTCATCCAGGTAAACAAAACAAGGGGGTTGTAGATTTTGTTTTTCTTCTTAGAAATCATTGCTTTATAGGTAAGCATTCTCTCTCTGCTGAAGCCATGTAATTTTCAGTGTAACCCTGTTAGTATTGCCATTTGTTTGTTGAGATGCGTGTTTTCTTCCCATAGTTGAATTTCTTTTTTTTCATAAGTAATGATGATAGCAGTCTGTAAAACTTGGACATATTAAATAACGGGCTATGATTAAATCCTCAGTTGTTTTGCATTTCTACATTTTGCTTAATAGCTTTGACAAGTAATGTATTTAATTTGGAAGAATTCACCCAGGTTATGTCATGGATTCTCAAGGATTACCTCTCTGGGAAGGATTCTGTTTATTTTAGCGGGTTCAATGTTGAAACTAACTTAGTAATTAATACAATTACAGTAGTAACAATGCTTCTTTATTTCTTGTGGAAGCACTTAGTATAGTTCTAATTGTTTTAATAGCAGTAGTTGCAGTTTATTGAGCACTTACTATATAAATGTCAGGCGCTGTGCTGTCAGCTTTTTATGTGTCTTCATAGACAGTCTTTACAATAACTGTGTGTGTTGTAGGCTCTCTCCTATCTTACAGACCAGGAGGGGGCCTAAAACAGTTAAGGGCCAGCAGAAGAGGCCTCACACCCCAGTTTTGTTGATGTTCTGTTAGTTTAACCACTCTGTCTCTACGTTGAAATTAGATGAAATTTAGTTTTGCATTCAGGAGAATTTTAGAGTTTGACTTAGCTAACTCTTCATCGTGTAATTTTTATATTATTATTTTTAGCAAGTTTCTTGCAAAGACTTGCCCACCTTAATTGAGAGTCATTGGTACTTCCCTGTATATCTTGATAGAATAATGCAGATGGATTAAACTTTAATATTCTCTGACTTTCTTTCTTTCAAACCTAAGCCTTTTAGAAGTAAGATATACTTTGGGAGGCCAAGATGGGCAGGTCACCTGAGGTCAGGAGTTCAAGACCAGCCTGGCCAACATGGTAAAACCCTCTCTCTACTAAAAATACAAAAATTAGCTGGGCATGGTGGTGGGCACCTATAATCCCAGCTACTGAGGCTGAGGCAGGAGAATTGCTTGAGCCCGGGAGGCAGAGGTTGCAGTGAGCCGAGATCACACTACTGCACTGCAGCCTGGGCAACAGAGCAATACTTTGTCTCAAAAAAAAAAAAAAAAGAAGTAAGGTATAATTTTTCCAATTGCAAAAGTAGCACATGCTTAGTGTCGAAAACCTGAAACTAAAGAAAAGCACAAAGAATAAAATAGAATGTGTGATTTTTCACTATCCAGAGATCACTGGGGTCGTGTAACTTTTAATTTATTCAAGGAAACCGAAAGAAAATTAAGGGCCAGTTTAATTTAGCCGAATGTCTATGTGGAAACAGGGGACTCAAGATGGTGGTTTTTCTGCTGGGTTTCAGAGCAGGTGCTGGTTTGCTTTCCTCAGTTGTCCCAGAGGGAAGAAAAACTATTTGTAGCTTCATTCCATGCTGATTTTTTCTTTACTTAAAACATGAAGAAAAGTAAATAGGGAGAAATTCAACTGAGAAAAATGTGTTTTTCTTTCTCATTAATGTTGCTTTACTTACACGAAACCACAGAGAAGTAGCTAGAATGAGAGTCTTTTAATAAAAGTATGAGAAGATATGGGCATTTTAAGAGGGAATTGAAATCTTAAAAAAAAAATTAATTACTAGTATTTAAAAATGGTGGGAAGCCTGTATCATTGTAGCATTTCCCATCTATGTTCTTTGAAATCTTAGTTTGTTTGGATATGTTTTCTAGAGGACTCATGGGGAAACAGTAAGTTTCAGAAAATGCTTGAAATGTATTCCACATTTAGAGTCCCCTACTACTCATTAATGTTTTTGGGTTTCTGAGAAGTCTTAAAGAACCTGTTAAGAACCTGTTTTGTCTGGGCACGGTGGCTCACACCTATAATGCAAGCACTTTGTGAACTACTTGGTTAATCAAAATAAAACAGGTACCCTCCTTTTTTTTGGTGGATAGACAGGGTCTAAGTCTGTTGCCCAGAATGCAATGCAGTGGTACGATCATGGCTTCCTAAGCCTGGGGAAGCTAATGCAGGTGTACTGCTTGAGCCCAGGAGTTTAAGACCAGCCTCGGCAACATAGGGAGACCCCTTCTCTACAAAAAATACAAAAATTATCCGGGTGTGATGATGCATGCCTGTAGTTCCAGCTCTTTGGGAGGCTTAGGTGGGAGGATTGCCTGAACCTGGGGGGAAGTTGAGGCTACAGTGAGCTGTGATTGCACCACTGCACTACATCCTGGCCAACAGAGTTAGAACCTATCCCCAAAAAAACAAACAAAAACACCTGTTTTATTTTAATTAATCTAGTGTTCTCCAAACCTATTTGACCATGTAACTTTTTATCACAGATTAGTGTTTAACAGCACAAATTAAAGAAATGCAGAGGTGCAGTTTGAGGATATATTCTTAGGAAATGGAAGCTTTGTAAGACAAACTGTGGAGGTGTACATAAGAGCAATGGGAAATGGCTTTATGTTGTGATTAGATTTATAGACAGAATAATGTGGTAAAGTAAATTGGGTAAATTGGTACAATATTTAGAAAAATTTGGCATTGTCTGGTATAGTTAAAGACTGCACACTGTGATCAAGTAATTTTACTCCTAGATACATACTCCAGAGTACTTTTCAAACTTTAAAACTTTAATGTGCATCTCTGAATCTTGCTAAAATGCAAATTCTGATTCAGTAAATCTGAAATACGGCCCAAGAGTCTTTATTATTAACAAGTTTCTAGGTGTCACTGACGTTGCTGGTCTACAGATCTTGCTTGGAGAAAGAAGACAGTAAAGAAAGGAAACCTAGGCCGGGCGCGGTGGCTCCCGCCTGTAATCCCAGCACTTCGGGAGGCCGAGGCGGGTGGGTCACGAGGTCAAGAGATCGAGACCATCCTGGTCAACATGGTGAAACCCCGTCTCTACTAAAAATACAAAACATTAGCTGGGCATGGTGGCGCGTGCCTGTAATCCCAGCTACTCAGGAGGCTGAGGCAGGAGAAGTGCCTGAACCCAGGAGGCGGAGGTTGCGGTGAGCCGAGATCGCGCCATTGCACTCCAGCCTGGGCAACAAGAGCGAAACTCCGTCTCAAAAAAAAAAAAGAAAAAAAAGGAAACCTAGGTTTTAGTCCCAGATTTTCCACTGACATGCTCTGTGACATAAGCCAAGTTGCCTCCTGTGTCAGGGTTGGAGTATAGAAGCCTTCTGTAAGGCATCCTCTGACTCTAAATCTAGACTCTGTGGAAGGCCATGAATCCCTATAGTAGAGCACAGCCACTGTTTGCCCTTCTCCCACGTTTCACCTCCAACTATGTAGGAGCCGGTGGACAGATTTCATGTACTTACACAAGCACTGATAGCCTCTCTCTCTTTCCTTCTTTACACCCTTGTTACTCTTGTACATGTGCGTTGATGACATGTATGAGAGTATTCATTACGGCATTGTAACAACAGATTATTGAAAACACCTGTGTCTGTCATAGAAGACTGGATTAATTGTGGCACGTTTATGCAGCAGTTAACTGTCAATACGTTAAAGCTACATGTATTTACATGAGTAAGTCTCCCAGACACAGTAAGTTATAGAAGAATATTTATAGTCAGACATAATTTGAATAAAATTAAAATGCAAAACATTTTAATTAAGTAATTTAAGAGCAAGTATATAGGTATAAACAAAGAAAAACATACATAAGATTAAGAAATAAAAAATTTAGGATAATGGTTCTCCCTGGGGAGGGAAGAAAGGAAATAGGATCAGAGAGAAGTAAACGTATCTATAATGTTTCATTTCTTAAGCTGAGTGTGTGGGTAGACATATTTATTATATTCTCCGTAATTTTTGCTTATTTGAAGTACTTCAAAATAATCATTAGAGAAAAACTTTGTGAAATATTTATAAAGCAAGCTTAAATATAATAGAGCAGTATGGGTAGCACTTCTGGTTAAGACCAAGTGAAGAGATGAGCAAATCCTTTTCTAAAAAAGCAACTGTAAAACAGGACAAAATTGACAAAACAGCCATTTCAGTGTTCTGGACGTCTGTGAAGTGATAGTAATCCGAGACACATTTATGCTTTGAAAAACTGCCAGAGTTCAGTTAAGAACAATGGAAATTTGTGGTTTAGCAGGCTGCTGCTTCCTAAACTCCCCAAGCTATGCTGTGTGGAGTTCCTGCCAGTGTGCAACAGGCTGCAGGGACTGGCAGTTTGCTCTGTGTGATGGAAAGGAGCTGTTTCTGTTTGCAGTGGTGACTGACACAGTATCCAGTGCCATTGTCTTCACAGAGGCAGGCTAGCAGAGGAAAGCCGGTGACTGGGCAGTTCCTAGGAAATCAGTCTTACTAAAAAGAAGCGGGGGAAAAAAGCATAGAACAATAACAAACTAAGTGGAGACATTCTGGTTGCATGCCACAGTGAAAATAGATTTCATGTGTTTAACCCAGTCTGTTACTATATAAAAGTGAACAAGCAGAAAAGACACCACCACCAACTTTAAGGGGGAAAATATCTGAATCCAGAGTTGCTACAATATGTTGTCTAAAATGTTCACTTTTCAACAGATTATAAGACATTCAAAATATAGAGATGTGTGACTCATAATCAGGAAAACAAAAGTCTGTAGAAACTTTCTGTGAGTGTCTCTAGATGATGGATTTAGCAGAGAAAAACTTCAAAGCAATGAATATAAATGTGTTCAAAGACTAAAGGAAACTGTATTTAAAAAATTGAAGTATGACAATAATGAGTGGCAGCAATGAGTCAACGAATAGAGATTCTCAGTAAAGAACAAAAAATCATAAAAATTTTAATAAAAACAGTACATAATAAAAATTATTTAAAAGAGCCACATAGCCATTCCGAAATTGGAGAGTATAATTTTGGAAATGAAAAATTCACTAGAGGGCTTCAACAGCAGATTAAAAA